ATTAAAGGCTTCACTTCACATACAGCTGTAATATTTTTACTACAATGGCTGTGCCTTTGATATTGCTACCAGCCACCAAGGGCATATTCTAGAATGTGTCAAATATTCATAGAGTCCACTGACCCCAACTATCCTTTAAATGCACACAAACACAAACTGAAGACTACTGGATTAAAGTTTAAGACCTTGCTGAAACAAGGAAAACGTAGATCACAAAACTGCTGACCAAAGCTTAACTGCCGGGATGAAAAACTGTCCTTGTGCATGAGTTTAACTTTGTAGTGGGAAAAGCAAGGATCTCAGACCTCATTCAAACCAGTAAGTTGAAGCTGCAACACACACAAAGAGAGAGAAAAACATTTGGACAAGACACAGCACCTTTGGATCTTCCCTTAACTTCAAGCTACATCACATGCAGCTACCATCCCTTGCAGGGTATACATTAGACAAGGGTTCTGCGGCTCAGCTCATTACTCTGCTAAACAAAGAAGAAACGTACAACAGTATGCCTTACATCAGCAGTTCCATAATCATAAGTTACCTTTCATGTTTTTGGCTGTTTGGCTGCCATCTTGGTGAGAAAGATGCTGGCTTGAGAGTGGGACACTCAGAAAGGCCCTGCAGCAGTGACACCATGTTTAAACTGGCTGAAATCACCGGCAGAAGTGAGAAGCAGAGTTTCACTGAAGCCGTTATTCCCAAAGGGACAGCTTGCCTCTTTAATGTGAGAAAACACTCAACCTGTCTGGACAGAAAAGTCAACCCCTTCACCTCTTCTTCTTTTACACCTGAACAGAGCTGCCAGGAAAGCTAAGCCTTGTACAAAAATGATTCTAATTTTTTTTTGGTCTCATTTCCCCTGAGGATTAACAACAAGGATGCCTGTTGGCTTGTGCAATTCTTCCCGTGCCTTTCAAACCTGAGAACAATGTTTTACTGCCCCCCAGTGGAGAGATTTTCTCACCGCACCTCCCATCCTAATGCTGCAACTTGACAAGCTTGGGTTGTGTGACACTGTACAGTCTGCACTGCCACAATTTCAACAGCAGTGACAGCAACGTTTAGAAAGAAATTGTTTGACGTATAATTTGCTTGAAATTACCTGTAAATGAGCCCGCTGCCACTGCATCAGATGTTATTATCACCGTTTCCATATTATCACCTTCATTACTTTGCCATCAACTGCCAATTCATTATGTATTCTGACAGAGTGGAGCTGCTCAGCCATGTCCATCACTCTCCAGTCAGGCTGATATTAGAGCTGCAGCGGGGCTGAACAGCCTGCAGATCTCAGGTCCAGGGGTGATTTGTACAGCTGCTCTCAGCGTGGAGAGATATTGAAGAGCCCATAGAGCATCTATAATTTAATGGCCATTTTATGCCATTCTAAATAAATTAAAGACCTTTTCATGTTCAACCGTGCTTTAATCATATCCTCTGAGAGTAATGGCTTTCGAATAATGCATATACTTCATGGTTTCAGCTCTCTCAGAACTGTTTGTCTCTTGGTAGGCATGTTTTATAAAATGCATATCTCGACCTCCTGTCTGTCCACGTGTCTTTTGACCAATGACACATTTAGATCTTACATTCAAAATGTAAGCAAAATGTACATATTTGATTTGAATTAACATTTTATATTTTAAAAAGCAGCAGCACATTTTTCCCAGCATCACATAAAATACCACCAATAGAACTGATTAATCCTGGAAAACAACACTAGACTCATCACTGGAACACTTTGCCTTTGGTAAAATCTGAACATAGCAAAGGTTTTCCCATACTGTACCACATGAGGTTGGAAAACCCGATTGTTTTTCAAATGGTTTACTGTAGCTGATGATTGGGTTTTTTTTGTGGATAGAAATCCTTCTCAGCTGAATTTTTTTTTTTTTTAAGTATTGATCAATAGAAATACATCAAACATGAACCAACAGAAGTTGTACTTTCCTCCCTATTGTTAGGAGAAGTGCCTGAAACTTTCTTCTGAGCTGATTAAAACACAACTTTAATATAAAACAATTGTACCCGCCGGGGCTTTGCAGATGAAAGGTTGTTGTTGCACATGTAAAATCAATTGCACACAGTTGAACAAATCCTTCAACGGGGTGGTACTGCAAGAATTCATGTTTTTCAAATAAATGTCCTCATTCAATTCCCAGCTGTGATTGATAATGAGATCTTCATAATTGCAAAAGGCAACACAAACAGTGACGACTCAGGATGCTGAAAATGCTCTTTGTACAACTAAGCTGATATACTGACAAGATTTAAACAGGCACAGGTCAAGTGCAGTGTGAGATGATAAACTGCATTTGTAACAGACATGATTCTGGCTAATTAGGCCTGCAATCCTCCACGTGCAGTTAAATTGTGTGATCATTTGGCGTGAAGATGGTTAGCTGTTCTAAAGTTGCAGTAGATTTGGATGCGTCAAACAAGGAGAGTCTGTTTTTAAAGCCTGAGTCATTTAGTCATCTTCTTTTTTTGACACTCAAAAAACAAAAAAAAAATCATTAAGGTTAAAATAAGTATCACTCAAAAACAAAACACCACCGCAGCCAGCAAGACATAACTTTTACCAATTAATATGACGTGCAAGCATTAGCACCAATCAAAACGACATCTCTCATAAAAGCTTCAACCATAACGGCAATAATTTGACGTGTCTTCAGAGGCAACACTTATTAAAACTGCAGGAGTCGTGAGCTGAGTTTTTTTTTGAAGGGTTTTCCATCTGGAGAAACTAAAGAAACCACAGAGCAGGATCATTAAATTTGATTTGAATGTGATGAGTAACGCCTCGAGCCATTTATAATGAGTCACAGTTTTGAATCTGTTTTTAAATAAATCTTTGATAGCTTGGTGAGCATGCCTTTTAGGCTTCTATATCTTAAAGGGCAATATTTTCCACATGTCGCCATTTAGACACATTTTAGATTTTATCCACCGCTACTTCTGTAAATTTACACATTTTCCGGGACAGTCCTGGTATTTCTGATGGGAATTAGTCTGTTGATCAGCCAAGCAATGCTGCACCTTCATTCCCAATGAGAATCTACAGCATATCATTTAACTTCCCCCACCGACCGAATCTATCCTTTTTTTTGCAGAATTCAGATAAATGTCTGTGAGCCCAAATCGCTTGGTGGTCACGGAGCAACGGTTTAATCAGAAAATTCACACTCCAGACTGAAGTATTGCAGTACAGGGCTTTGCATGAGCGTTTAAAAGGCAAGTCTGCAACTTTAAATTGGCTGTGGAGAACCCTGGTGGTCAGTGTGGCATCAGATAATAGCAGTATTAATAAGGAAGAAGAGAAATGTCCCTATTGCTCTTAATCACCTTCTGACTGTCTGCACTCCCACAGCTAAGTGAGAACCAAGAGGAATTAAAACCTCCATCGGGACAAATGTGAGATATTCATCCACATCTACGAATCATTAAAACAGCCTAATTTGAAATTATATTTTCAAACATGATGACCTTTTGCCAATATAGGTGAGTCATTAACTCCCTATTGGACTACAGTGGCTACTAATTTATATTCATCAAATGCAGAAGCTTGTCTGCTCTTTTAACAATTAATCTTTAAGTCTTTATTAAAATTTTACTAAGGTCAATGAACAAAGTAAGACTTGGGCTGATGTCCTGCCTACCTCACTTACTCGCTCATTGTCAGGACTTTGCAAGGTTTAGTTAAATGGATTCAGAATAAGCCAGGATGGACCCGCAGGTGACAGAAATCACAAGCTGAAGCTCCAGTACAGGCCTGGAGGCTACAATGTTCTCCTCCCTCGAATTCATCTTTCTGCTGTAGGAGAGAAGAGGGAATGTGCTCACCATCCTAACAGTTTGCTTTGTCCTCTGGACCACTTCAGTTCTTCAGACCTGTGATGCTGTACAGACACTGTCCTTACTGACTGGTCTATCCCGAGCAGTTCGTTCATTATTCACACTCCTCTCTCACTCAGAACAAATTCTCAGGGAGGTACTGGAATCTTGCAGCAGCAACACAGAATATAAATTACACAGTGTTCTATATATTTGTACCTCTTATACTCTACTAACCACATTGTGGTGACTCAGATAAGACAAACCAGCATCTACAGTATGACGTTATTCAAGTCTCTGTTGGAGCTAGATGAAAAGACAGATAGACCTCTGTTGGCTTCATGAAGCTAGAGCCAGGAGGCAATTAGTTTAGCTTAGCATGAAACCTAAAAGCCTGAGAAACAGCTAGCGGGGCTGTGTCAAAAACTTTAAGGCACTTTGTTTAATCTGTGCAAAAATCCAAACTTAAAAAGGACAAGCTGTTGGTTTACGTTGTGTGCCGAAACTCCAAAACTGTTTATGACTGAGTAGTGACTTTCTGAACATCCTATTCTTTGCCAAGAAACCCTTTCAGCACATATCCTCCTGAGAAGATATAAGATGTTGTTTATAGATGAAACAAACAAGATAAAATATGTTGATAATGCCCCCTGGCTGTAGCTTCTTATTTAATATACAGACAAGAGAGTGGTACTAAATCAATATTAATTTAAGCCTTGTGTTTTCAATAAATAATCATCAATTCCTGCATAAAAATCAATATGATTCAGCTGGAAAAAAAACAAAAACATACTAAACATTGCGGTACAAGCTCTGTACACACAACTGTGGTGTTGCATTTGTAGCAAAGGCTCCACAGTTTGTTGACTCTATTTGAATTTATTAGACTTTCTTGTTTGTTGTATCAGTGCCAAAGCTTTTTGGCAGCAGCTTCCTGTTTAAAGTCCTCCGGGAGGACACGGTAACCTTTGTGCTTTATCGAAGTATTATTTTCTCATTAACTTCAGTCACAACAATGCTCAAAACCGTATAATAAGAAGCTTTTTAATCAAGCGCGTCGGCGGGATGGTTTGTGTTTGCTCGTTCTTGTAGAAGCAGAATTGATTGAAAAGCTGTAAGATGGCATTTAGCTTCACTAGGAATCATTTAAATTACCAGGAAAAAAGGTCACTCAACAAAAATAGCCTTTATTGATAGGTAAAATCAATTATATTAAGGCAACAGCAATACTGAGACTCACAAGCAGACTGAGTGATTTATTTTGGTTTTGGTGGCAGGTTTAGGTCTTTTTGTATAAAAAAACAAAAAAACTAAAATTCCTTTAAATCAGTGAAGGAAATAGGAGGTTAAAATAAGGTACTTCAGAAATGATTGCCACTGTCTTTGGCTGGATCGCTGTGCTTTGTATCCTCTGATTTGGAGCTCTGTTGAAACAAACAAAACATGCATTATTTTATGAATACTGCAACAGCTACTTTAGATATGTTTCAGAACAACACATACATAAGTAGATTTTGAGCTTTCAGATGTCAACGTTGCTTTGCATAATTTTAATAATGATGGTGATAAATATGCAACAATACCCCGATTAAAGACAAGGTTTGAAACGTGAATTACACTTATCTGCCTTCTTAATGAAAGAAAGATATAAAAGTTTCATATCATTCTCATGTCAGTACAACACACATGAGGCCAGTGCTGCTCCTCGAATGGCCACTTGAGGCTGGCTACAAAAACGAATCACTCCCCACTGTGATTTGTTAAAAGTTAAAGCATCAAACTTTACAGCAGAAATTAACACGATGACAGCGTGGTACCAAAACACGGTTTTGGCTTCAACAGCTAATTTCCAGTGCTAATGATTAAAGTTGGAGATTGTAGCAGCTCTGAGTGGCAGCTTGGTGCGGTCACAGGACAGTCCATGACCAAAAGACCGCTTTATCTCCAGTGTAAATGTGGAGGAGTTGGGCAATGCCAAACTTGCCGAACTGAATTTAAAACCGCTGTTCAAGAAACTTATAGATGACTTGGTGGAAAGTTCGTCCATCTTTATCAACAGTCTATGTTCAGGAACGGCTGTACTTCACTTGGCATAAAGACTGGAAGTAGGTGCAGTGAAGACGTATAGAGAATTAACATGTGAACTTTAGACATGCAGGCTGGTGTATTTTTCTTCTTCTTTTTTAACCTTTGGATAAACAATCCTTGCAATAGCTTTCTATAGAGAGGAGAGTGGTATCAATCTTCTCCTCTCACTCGAATTATGAAAATAAAAAGGCACATTTCCAAAACATGCTGACTGACTCTTTTAACTGTAAAAAACAGAAAATCCTGAATGTCAACCTAATGTCTGCTATAAACACAAAACACTTGGTGTTAATGTGAGTGTGCTTAGTTGTCTGTCTTTCAGTTTTGGCCCTGTGATGGACTGACAATCTGTCCAGGGTGTACCGTGCCTTTTGCCCTAAAATCAGCTGGGATAGGTGGTGTATAGACAATTAATCAGTGGATAAATGTTGGTCTCCTCCTCGATGTACCTTGGACTTGAAGAGCAGATTAATGACGCCCTTTGAACGTCTGTCTGCTGTCCGGTCAGAGGTCCCACAGACAGACATGCTCTTACTGTCTCTCCTGGCCCTGGAGGTGTCCACCTCCTCGGTCCCTCCAATCACTGCCAAGGACAGACCTGCAGGCAGGAACAACTGCGGATTTAGTGTTTGTGTCTCACTGATTACAAGCTTACAACAGAACCTTTGCCTCTTCCTGCAGCCAGACATTTTTTTTTTTTTTTTTTGTGGTAACTAATTGCACTCTTGCAGCTGTTCTGCTGATGCACTGTGTGCTCTGGCAACACTGGTGGCGCTGTGTGTATGTTCAGTCAGGCAGCACAGCTTGTAGTTAGCGGTGCTAATCAGAGATAGTGTATTAACACCACAGTCAATGCTGGCTCAGCTGGTCCGATCATGGAAGGACGCCAGTGAAGAATCAGTGAACTGAGGTCAGATGCACTGCTTCTAAGTGCAGGGTTACATCACTAAAACAATTAAATATTAACTGAATGATGCTGCATTAAAATTACAAAATTACGACATGACTGATTCGATAATTTGCCGCCTCTGTGTTAGGTCAGGTTGTTACTGCTACATTGCCCAGCTTGCCAATTTGTTTCTATATACACTTGACTGTAATGACCTTGCTTTTTTATTTTTTTCTCACAGTCAGCTTTCTAGACCAGACAAAAAATAAAAAACTGCGCTTCTTCTCAGGTCATGACTTTGTGGGCCCTTATTTTACAGCTGCAACTCAGCTACAGTGCGCTATTCACTCAGCACTAGGTGGATTTGTGTGTGTTTGTCACCGGTGATGGCAGGCAGGGATCTGGAATTGGCATTGGTCAGCAACACATTTCCTTCATTTGGCTCAGACAAGTTGGTGTCACTGCGGAACTCCTGTTTCTTGGACAGCTAGAGGGAGACAGAGATCACACAAAGCTCAGCAATGAAACCAACATTTCATGAGTTAAATGCCTTACATGTAACCTTATCAGCTCCTCTCTTCTCTCTTTCACATTTTCCCCTCTTTTATTCAATTACTGCTGAATCTCACCCGTTTGCAGTCCAGCGTATTTGTCCTTTCTCTTTCCTCTGAGATGAAGATCATGCTGCTCCTTTTCTTCTTCTTCTTACTCTTCCTCATTTTGACCTCTGCATCGCCCACCGTCACCACTCCCTCCTCCACCGTACTTACACTAACACTGCCGCTGGAACGCTGCAGGCTGGAGGTCCAGGAGTTCGGAGACTCAGGAGGGAGGTCCCTGTTCGGAGGCAGGAACGGTGTCAGTAGTGAATTAAAGGAGTTAAAAGCAGATTTTTAAATCTCTGTTGAAATTGGACACATATATACATTAATCACATAGATGCAGATTAATTCTTGGGGGAGTCTTTTGAGACCCTAAGGTCACAAACATGCATGCTACCTGTCTGCATGGGTCTTGGTTGGAGTCCCACATTCAGATCCTTGCAGAGAGGAAATGGAGATGATGGACTGACGAATGGAGCGCAGCATGGAGCGAGGACGAGTGGACTTTCTCTCATCCAAATCGGGCTGGAGAGAGAGATAGAAAGTTGTGGCAGTGACACAATGCAAAAGCACATCTTTAGAGACAAAAGAAAAGCAAAAGACAGTGAAAACACTGTATCATCACTCCGCCTATCATTAGTTTAATTCCTCCTGAACGGCAGAGCCAATTTGGAAGTTAATAACCATATTTGCTCCAATTTAATTCATCCAAATTTAAAGGTACAAATCCTATATTAACACTCCACTCACGGGTTTTGTGAGTATTTTGATCTTTGAATTTGCCTGGTTCAGCTAATTTGCAGCTCAATTAGTGCAGCACTGCCACAGCTACTCTGGCTTTGCACAAAATTAGATGTTTTGGTTTACAGAAACACCAAGTTTCACTGAAAAGGCTCTCATTATCCTACTTTTTTTTCCCTCTCTTCTCCGCCTCCTGTCACTCCCCCCCCCCAGGTCTTACCAGCTCTCTCACTCCGTATTCTTTCTCCACTTTCTTCTTTAGCTGTTTGAAACATTCTTCCATGCGGTCATGGAAAGGACGCAGGTCATCTGTCACTCTCTTTCCATGGAGGGAGATTCCTCCACCTAGTAATGGGATCTATAGATAGAAATAATATAGCATCACTTGGAGGAACCACATGAAAGAAACCCAACTATATGTGCTTTGTACTTGTATTTTAAAATGTGCGTTAACATGTTCAGCACCTGCCAGGCGATGAGGTCTTTGAGCCGCAGCAGTTTGTCTCTGTCCTCCGGGTGCTGCTGGTTGTATTCTTCGGTAAAGAATGCCTGATGCAGAGAAATGTTCAAGATTGAGACAGTTTTTAAATGAACACCTGACTTTTCCACCGACATGGGTAATCATTTTATGTGGGATATTATAATACAGAATGCTGTTTGAAGGTGAATACCAAAGACATTTTGAGCTATGAATACACCACACTCTAATAAGTATAGTTAATTTAATGCTTTTTGGACCGCAAAATTTAACTTTGATCATATTCAGAGCCTCAGGAGGTGATACAGATTTTTTATACTAAATACATTTAAGTCAATGCATTATGACAGATGAGTCTTTCACTGACGCAGTCTTTCATAACTTTTTAAGGACTTACTCAGACATGGTGAATAATTGTCCTGCTTAGTCATAACACATCTTTTACAACAGATAACAAAGACTCATCAAGCATAAATCTCAGATGTAACACTATTTAGTAGGAGAATGGTCAATAACTGACCTAGATAATATTATCTGGGTGAGGCTTTGAGTACTGGTGCTGATCCTTGACAGTTTAACAAGTTACCTTCTCATACTTGGCAAAGCCGCCCATTACAGCTGGATCCACGATGCCATTGAGCAGCATGGAGAGAGGGTTGATGGGAAGGCTCCAGTCAGCCTGGTACTGGTTAATCATGGTCAGAATCTTCTCATTTGTGGACTCCATGGTCTCTATGGCATTCTCCAGTGGAGACAAGGTAGTCTGGGAAGGGAGGCGGTGTGGTAGAAGGAGGATAGGGGGGGAAAAGAATTGAGGGAAGAGGAAAGGCACAGATGAAATAAAGATGGAGGGTTTTTACAGAATCAAGTGTGGGAGATGTACAATAAAAAATTTAGCAAAAAAGAAGAAAGAAAATGAATTTAATCAGTGGTGGTGAGATGGAGAGCACGTTACACTGGAGACAAATATCTCACAGCAAACATACAAGTCAAACATGGAAGCCCTGCTGGCTTACATGTTTCATGTCAGTAGCCTCAAACCAGCGCAGGATCCCAGGCAGCTTATACACAGTGGTGAAGGTTGTGCGCTCAATCCACATGGACTAAAACAAAAAAAAAAAACAAGGGAGAGAAGAAAAATAATAAAGCTGTCACATGAATCTCTGCCACTCATGCATACTTATAACCCAATGTTGTGTCTTGTATTAAAGACTGAACTCGTACCAGACACTTGCTGCACAATTTCATTTAGATTTCATCTAATCCAATCATACACCACAGTAATACCTGAATCTGATGCTGCATCTCGAGTGCTCATCTGAAACCGAAGCGTAAACGGATGTCTTATCGTATAATTGCACTATAACCTGCTGTCAAATAATATCCTATTATTTTACAGAACAGGAACTCCTCTTTTCAGACTTATAACAAGAATACAATACCTACTGAAATGCTTTTATGGTCCCCGTGGCGATAAATCTTTTAATTTAACAAAATAAATAACAAAAACAAAACTTACAGCAAACTCATTGTTTGGGTCCACAGGTCCTTTCCTCACAGGTCTGGAATAGTGGAATCGCTGCACGTAGTTAGACTTGTAGAAGCTAGATTGTGCAGGAAGATAGACACAGAGGATAGGAAAGAGTTCAACAAAGAAAATTAAAGAAACCATTTACAAGTGAGGAAAATGTTGCCCATGTCCATAGAAGTGCCAGTTTCCTTTTAATCTTGGCTTGTAATTATTATCCAACTGTACTGACTTGATGATCTGGTCAGGAACAGGTTTGTTCTTCAAGCGAGGAGGGATCTCGAGGACGGGCTGCACTGTGAAACACTGCATATCTGGATCAGATGGCTCAGAAATTAATGCATCACTACATGATAGACGACATCTTAGTAATCCTGAGTGCACAAACTGACAGTTGGGGTATGTTTCTGAGCTGTGCTGGGGTTTCATATACAGAGGTGCACCAACAGGCATAACAAAACATGACATTTTGATTGAGACCAAACCTTATGAATGAAAATATTTAACACAAATAGATCTGATCTCTGGTTAAATTTAATTGTGTTTCTTGGCAAAAAAACCCCCCAAAACTTTCCTGACATTATCGTACAGAAAACACTGGATTTACGCTGATCTCATTGTTTACTTTCAGATTTCTTTAGTGACTGAACTACATATAAATCGTAAAGGTACTGCTGAACTATTGTGTATTTACGATTTGCATTTCTGTATCACTGCACCTGTGAAGGCTGTAGACTATTGAAAGCATTTATATTTTCTACTTTCTATGCACATGTGCGTTTCTGTGCTGCCTAAAGGATACACTGAAGTGGAGAGTTCCTGATATCCTCTCCTGGCATGGTGGTCGTGTTGAGGCGAACAGAACTGGGGAACTGACTCATGAGGTGATTCTGGAAGTCCTCTCTGCGCTCATACTCCTTACCACGGTGGATGAACACCTTGTTCTGAAGCCAGGGGGAAATGAACTGGTGTTAATAAGGATAATGAAAAGATTAACATTACATTTATCCTGCAATCTTTTATATTATACATAACATATATTATAATATTCTTCCATCTAGAGAGTTGGCAAACACCCCAATTCTTTCTCAAAAGCACAGAAGTGCGCCTGTGCCTTGTCTCCTTTCACTGCCCTTCTAAAAACTGAGTCCTTGACTTTGTCATACTCCTTACCACAGCAGATTAACACATCTAATGAATAAAGGAGCAATAAACACCGCAATATTTTATTTCTACAGTTTGCTGAAATCCACAGATCCTCAATGTTCCCTGAAGGTACCTTATGTCCCATTCTGTTAAACATCTTGCTGGTGTTTATAAAAACTTGTCCACTCCTGCAATTTTAAATAGCTAAGCTTCAGTGCTGATAATAGGGGAAAAAAAGTTTTTGATCCTTTTCTACAAAAGAAGCCATCAGTGTTACTTTGGGAACAGTGTGAATCTCTGCTTCTAAAGAACACAAATATTCTTTTGGATAATAAAAACGATATACTTTATGTCTATAAAACACAAAAGGCTCATATATAGTGCTATAATGTTTATTTGTATGAACAGTGACATAAATGCAAACCCTGAGGAATGGAGGGTAGCCCTGTCCATAGTATCCCACTGCAAAGTAGTCCGGCTTAGGCCTCAAGATCTTCATGATATTCTCATAGAACCTGGCTTGTTTCTCCTGCAGAGAGAGACAAAGAGAGAGACAGAGGATGTGTTCAGGGGAGAGTCTCAGATGTGCACCGGGTGCAGCTGGGGCAGTTTTATCAGCTCACGCCAATGACAAAGCTACCCTCAGCAGAATGCTGGGCCTGTGAGGGTGATAGATGCAGAAAAAAAGTGCACACCATCCAAGGGCAATGTCTGTCATTTATATAACCACATAAATTCAGCATTAGCTCAGAGAGCTACTGCCGCAGTCATATAAAGAGAGACAGAGGTTTTTCCATTGTTGGGAAAAGTGTAATTTTCTTTGGGGAGGGGAAAAGATGAGTTAAGTGAAGGGGAGACAGAGGGGAAGGTGGTGCTAAACCTCAAGTCAGGATTTTGGTATGGAGGGAATCACTTCTGCTGTGGTGTCAAAGCAAAGGATGAAGGAAGGAAGCTGACTGAGGACAAAGCAAGAAGGGCTACGAGGGGTTTGAAGTAGTTGAAGACTGACAGTGTGGAATCACATTTTTGGGGTCATATGGTAATTAGTGGAACCCAAACTAGAGCTCTTCAGAAAAAGATTGATTTAAAGGAGGATTTGAAGTATCAAGTATAATTTAAACATGGATGGATGTTGGTAATGTTACATGATGAACATGGGGGAACGAAAACTGCTTATTGAAACAGTATGTTCAGAGGTTATCAGTGCAATTTACAACTTGAACACAGACTGTTGGACAGCTTGCCAAAAACCAAATCCATCTATTTGAATATCCTACATATTTTATTTATATCACTGAAGTATTTAATTGAGTTGTGTAACTGCGGCTATAAAAAAAAAAAAAGAAATAAAAAACCTAACATCTCTTTCTTTCCCACAAACGCCCTGTTAAACCCAAGAACATCAAAAACATCTATAAAGAGAATTCAGAGGATCGTTTTTGAGGCAAGAAAAATGGCAAGAAATATGTGATTGCGACTGCTGCACAGAAGACAGGAAAGTTTGAGATTGTACAGTATTACCAGTCTCTTGCTGAGCAACTCGTAGTCGAAGATCTCATTTTCATACTGCTCTGCTAGTTCCTTACACAGAGTGATGGCCTCTTCCCACATCTAAACACAAACACACACACATACACATACATCAAGAAAAGAAGCAGAAACAGTGTCCTTCATTACACCACCTGCTTATACATCAGTAGCAGGTGTTGTGGTGGGAATTCATCTCATGCAAATCTCTGTCTCCTGGTCCCTGTAGAGTGGAGGGAAGTCTCTATCTCAGCTTCAGAGAACATGACACACTCATGGAGAATACAGAATGAATGTGACGCCAACATACTGCATAGATGACTCTGTGATTGCAACAGTGTTTCACTCTCACAAAAGGTATGAGAGAAGCATTTTACAAAATAGCATTGCAATCTTTTTACCTTTAGTGAAAGGAATCCCAAAAGTTAAATGAACAACAGAAAAGATGAACGCTGAAGGCATTTAAAAGATATTTTACAACAACTGATTTTTGATTAATGGTTTATTTATTTCGTTTTTTTAATATTCAAATTACTCTCTGGCGAAATTGTCAAGAGTTAAAAATTCAACAGTTAAAAAGGAAGGTGAAATCATCTAAAACAATCCTCACCTTGCCCTTATCAAAGTAGTCGATGATGGTGTCGTAGAGCGTTTCTTTGAGCTGCCGCTGGGTTTGGGAGCCATGGAGTTCAAACTGGGGGCTACACATGTCATCTGACCACTGGGACAGAGACAGTCACAAAGACAGAGGCACGGAAGAGAAGCCAAAAATAATGAGTGATTATTTCACGAGCAGAAGCAAACATTAGAGCAGACATTATATGAGGTTCTTCAATAAGTTCTCCGCCTCACCCAGAAACAAGGAGGTGTAATTCCCATTTAGGGGCATGACAGTGTCCTATAAAGCCTCATATCACAGTCCACAAAAACTCAACTGTTTTCAGCAATTAAAGAAAAAAGGAGTGGAAAGCTTTAAGCTGGTGTGCTGCTGCTGCTTCAGGACAATGCACAATCCACACAGCACAGGTGGCAGAAGCTGCCAAAAATGTGGCTTTGAACTGTTGCTTCATGAACCTTACTCAGCCAGCCTGCACCGTCTGGATTCTATCTGTTTACCAAACTGAAACCCCACTTGCGTGGTCACCATTTTAAAAGTAATGATGAAGATATTTGTGATGTTGAGGAGTATCTGGAGGGTCAAGATGTTACCTTGTTCCATGAAGGGGTAGTGAAGCTTGAACATTGGTGGAGCAAGTGCATTAAAGTTATAGGTGACTATGATAAAAAATAAAAATAAATGCAAGAACAATATTTCTCCTGTGAGGCTGAGAACTTTGAAGTACCCTCCTATGTTGTCAAGACTATCTCCACTGAACAAAGAAATAAGAGAGAAGAAGAACTTAAAGCTTAGAGCTTTTTCATTTGCAATAAATGAAGATTAGTCCAGAGCCACAGTGTGCACAAAGACACAAGCGCAATGCTCATTTATAATATAAATGGGACAATAGTTTATCTTCTATTACAGAAATTACACTGAAATTTAATTTAGAAAGCAAACAAAAAAAAGTACATCATGATTCCCAGATCTGTCTAATCTGCTTAGGATGGTGAGGAAGACGATTATAGCATGTCGCGTGTGGTGCAGTCGGCTCTTTCCAATAAAGTGAAACAGGGATGACAGGTCTGACACAGCAGATGAATGGAGAATATAAAAAAAAAAGGCTGTAGAGTTCAACTGCTTTGATGTAATGATACAAGACAGAGAGAGGAGATAAAGAGCGAGAGACGCCCCTATTCCTCTGTCCCCCTACGTGAGCCACTAAGTTTCCCATAAAAGAGATGAAGAGACAAAAGAGGTCAAACACACCCAGACACATGCATGCACATCCTCTCGCACACAAACCTACACACACGCACACGCGCGCAATTACACACAAACTGCCTGTGCAAGTGCACTGCATCAATCACCATAGTGATCTAGCTGCAGTGCCTGACACTATGCCATAAACTAACCTTGGAGCTTCATCATTTGGAGGCCAGCGACATAGCAACCATTTATCAGCTAATAAAAAAAAAAACTACCTCATTTGTGGCAGGCTAGTGATTAGGCAGAGCAAAACACTGGGACCAGCATGTACCAACAAAATATGTCTTTACACTCGTGTGTGTGTGCATGTATGTGTGTTTGCTTTACCTTGAGCAGACGAGAGTGCAGCAGCAGGGTATAAGCTGCCTCCGTGTAGTTTTCACCCTCCAGGTGAAGGTCCCTCAGTTTGTAGAGGTACCTGAACACACACAAACACAATTACAGAAGTCATTTTATAAGTGACTTAAACATCACTCCACTAGATGCCACTGTTGGGCAACCCCAAGACCTCTAAATGAAGGATTAATCGCAAATGTGGCACTGAATCAGCCTGCCTCACTTTCCCTTGTTCTTTGTTTTTCTGGTCTGTTAGTTGTCACAGTCTAGTTGCTGCGTATGACTTTGTGAGTGGAAAAAAAAAACACAACACTTTTAGCCCCTCTTTCATTTTCATCGATGTTGTGCATATCTAAATCTAACCCTACACTGTTGTCTTTTAGTTTCATCCACTCTCCATCCTTCTGTGGCTTTCTGTTCTTCCCCACCTTGTCCCTCTTCACCCAGCTGACACTTCTGTCCTCCTTCTCTCTGCCTGGACCCCAGTCTCTTCACAACTGACATGGTTTTCATGAGCCAAATTTAGAAAGCGGCAGACATTCATTCTTCTGTACTCCACGCGAACCAGAAACATATTGCACAGTACATTTACGTTTGCATAATTCAACGACTAATTTTAAATGAATTGAATGTTGCCCTATAATTAAGTGTAAAGGCTGGTGTACAGTCAATGACTCGTTGAAAATTATGCCATTTCACCTTGAGTGGGCATGACATGAGCAGTGACCCAATTCTGCATAAATCTAGGATGTCAAAAAAAGTGACAAAATAACCAACAATTAGTACGCAAGCTAAAAATGTTGTTCATGAATATTATGCTGTTTTAGTGCACACCTTTTTGAAGTATACCATTTTCTAGAAACAATGGGCGATGTGCGAATAGAGTGAGTGTCGAGAAAACTGCCCAAAGATTTTACAAAACAAAACATACAACAAAATATTTATTTGGCAGAAGTATCCAGAAGTTTGCTATATGTGAATTGCAAAAAGAAGGATGCTATAGTGATTAGTATGTAGCACTTAATGACATGGAGTTATGCACAGTAATACAATGTTTTCACAGTTTTCACATTTCTGTCCTCAGAGACAATTTGGAGAAAAGATATTACTAAATCGAGCCAATGCAAACCCAAGTGAACTTTCCTATTTTACTTTTTTTTTCTTTTTTTTTTTGGATTCCACCAAATGAATATTTATTTTTAAATTTATTTTGTGGGGCTTTTTGCCTTTATTCAATAATACAATGTAGACAGACGAGAATTGCAGGACAGAGTGAAGGGAAGTTAAATGCAGCCAATGGTCTGGCAGGCCAGAATCAAATTAGGGGTCTGCTGCTCAGGGCGTATGTGCCCATATGGTATGCATAACCACTTGGTTCTAGGGTCACCTGGGAAACAATTTTTGACCAAATCTGCAATGATGATGCAGAGTTCTGTACGAACAATTATTAGCACTAATTCACAAGTTTCATCACGTATCGATGTACACACATAGGGATATGTGCATTAAGTTAAGTATTATCTTCAGTATATAGGCAAGTAATTAGTCTGCAAATGTTCCATAACTCACACAGTGAGCCATAACATAATTAGTTCAGGATTTCATTATCCACTGTTGCATAACTGCACTATAATATCACATTCTGATTATATAACACAGCGGGAAATGGACATTTGCATTAAAAACGTTTGTTGGCTAACACTGACTAGCTAGCCAGCCAACTGTTACTGTATTCTCCACAGAGCTGACTGAGGCAGTTTATCAGCTGCTGACTTAGTCTTATATTCACACATGCAGATAACTAGTGTCTAAAAGCCATTGCCAGAAATGCACCATGGGACCTGACGGGATCAGTATTCCTCTCTTTCCCTCTCTCTCTCTCTCTCTCTCTCTCTCTCTCTCTCCTGCAAACATCCTGTCTTTCTCTGTCTCTCCACCTCTCCCTCCCTCGTGTTCATCATGTCTCTCTTTCTCTCTGTTCTCCCTCCAGTCAGACCAAGGGCTGATCCTGTGGATTTTGACATTAATTCAGTAGAACTCATATAATCCCTTGTCAGATTATGGAGCCACACACACGCACTTACGTGCACACATCCAGACATGCATATACATGCATACACATGCAGCACAAACATACACCATTCAAATATAATTCATGTCAAAGCCAGGATGTAAATACCTGATGTACATCCCTTCACGATTGATGTCCTTGTAAAAGTTCTGCAAACACAAAAGCAGAGGAAGGGTTAGTGTTTGTGAGAGTGTGTCTGCGTGACAGAGAGAGATTTTTAAAAATTATTCCAAAGCACTGCAGCAGCTGTAAGTTTCTAATTTTGTATTTGTGTGGCTGAGTGTTTGCCCACATGGCTGTATGTGTCCGTTATGCATGTTTACTCTATATACTTCTGATTGCCCGTGTGTGTTAATGTGTGGGAGTGCGTGCATGAACACTTGCTCGTTAAAATGCACAAACTCCCAGTTTAATGAAGTTTAATGACATCTACAGAGAACAGAGGAGTGGAACAAAGTGATGTAACCCCACCTCCCATCACCAGTACAAATAATAAACAAGAACACACACATACGCACACACATATACACACAAATAGAAATATGCAAATAAAAAAATCAAGCTCCATTATAACGGGAGATGTTGGGAAGCCAAATCATACAGTGTGCATAGTTATATGTATTTCCTTTATTGAAGCAAGTGTAAAATACATAATTGATTGCACTGATGCGTTTTAAATTCAATAAGCCATGTTCATGTTGTAGGCTGACCATCAACAGGAAGGTCAGATGTCGTTACCCGCAGCAGCTGATAAGCCTTTTAAACAGACAACAGCGTGACCTACAGCAGAACTATGAAGAGGCAACTGTTTAAAAATCTCCAAATATGTGCACATCAGCAATACAGACATTCTCTTGTGAGCAGATGACACTGACCTTGGAATCACAAATTGTCCTGGAAACCCTTCAAGTCAAGGTTAACCAAGCATGTATATATACTTTAGTCGGAGCATTCTGTGTGTTTTAATGTGTACAAGCAAATTTGTGTTTCTTTGAAGGTGCATGTGTATGAAGAAGCAAGTGTGTGACTGTCCGCGCGTGCACGTGTGTGTGTGTGTAGGTGTGTGTGTGTGTGTGTGTGTGTGTGTGTGTGTAATCCCTGAGTGAAGTTAGCCTGGAGGGGCATGGACAGGAGAATGCACTAGTCCTTGCTCGCCTGCAGAAAGGATTTTTCAGCTGGCCAAACAAATAAAATAGAAAAGCTAATGGGCATCTGCTACAGGCTACAAGCAAAGCACATCTGCTCTGTACCAGGAGCCTCTTTCTTAGGGAAACAAATACATAATATAGAGCCACATTACATCCATCCATCCATCCGTTATCTATTACCGCTTAATCCTCACTTGGGTCTATCCCAGCTGACTCAGGGTGAAGGCAGGGGACACCCTGGACAGGTCACCAGTCTATCACAGGGCTACACAGACAGACACAACCAAGCACACTCACATTCACACCTATGGACAATTTAGCATCACCAATTAACCAAGCATGTTTTTTGGACTGTGGGAGGAAGCCGGAGAACCTGGAGAGAACCCACGCTGCCCGTGGAGAACACGCAAACTCGACACAAAAAGATCCCGGGCATCCTAATCGGGGATCTTCTAGCTGCGAGGTGACAGTACTAACCACCGAGCCACCTTGCGGCCCACATTACATCCATCCTCATGAAGGTTTGCATCTCAGAAATGTCAAAGATTTCAAGGAAAAAGAAAGAAGGAGTTTAGAGGAGGAGCCATGTGACTTAATCTGCTGCGGAGATGATCATAAGGTGAATAGAAGGGATCCATTACTAAACCTGAGAATACCGTGGGGGAGAATGTGATTAGGAGATCACATAAGAGAAAGGATGTGGAACAGACAGGAGCTGATGCAACCCGTTGCAAACAGCTGAAGACCAGACACATAGATGAATCTATTCCTTCAGATCAATCAGCACACAAATTAAATGTGGAAAAGGAAAAGAAAGACTTTGGCATGTGAGACAAGGCACAGAATCAGTGTTTGGTAATAAGCTCCTCAATCAGTTTGGCTGCTTTGGTATAGATATCACTGAGTGAGATGTGAATGGAACAAACTCACTTACTAATATCTTCTGACATTAGTCTTTCAGTTAATGATGGGTTTATTGATGTGTGTTTGTCTGAGATCAGCAGCTCTTTGCTGTGAGGTTCAATGCTACAACTACAAAGTACACAACAAGAATCACAAGGTTAGTGTCAATAAATGCAAATGCTTGATAATGTGTGCCAGACTCCCAGCATAAGGGAGATTTTGAAAGATTCAGCAAGCATCAGTGAAACAAGTAGAAAACAAAAAATGATGAAATTCTCATGGAGGAAATGCTCACACCAATACGGTGAAATTCTAAGACCCAACTTTGTAAATAAGTCCAGTTTCTTTATGGGTAAGTAACTGCCCTCTTAGGAAGCCTACTTGAACACATTTTGCATATCGGAGTGACACCTTTCATGCTCGTGATTGCAACAAGACTTTTAAAAAGCAAGGCAAAGGGCAAGTCTGCCTGCTTATTCCTGATTTCAAAAGAAGGCGGGACTCACCAGAAGATTGACAGTGCAGCTCATGCGGTTGTTGCGGCTGTCATCGCTCATCACGGTGCGGTAGTCAAGGAGACGAATGAGGAGTCCCTTCACCAAGGAGACAAAGTGCTGCACCTGGGGCTTCAGCGTGGGTTTCTGGGCAGCACAGTCCAACAAGCTGGCAGACAAGCATGCACAAGTTAATCATCAGAGACGTCTGAAAGGGTTTTGCCTTGTTATTCGGAAACCTATGACAGGCGTTAAAAGTTACATTCTCCAGGGCAGGCAGGAAATCCACTCCAGGAAGTTATGCTGAGAATATAGCAAGGCAATGGATATAACATTTTTATTTGTACCATTTTGTACTATGTTATAAGTTCATATATTGTTATACTAAGGCCTACATGGTCTCCAGTAGTTGCATGTAACGTTCGTCTCCTCCTCCACCCTCCACCTCGTGATCCAACTTCAGAATGATCTCATTCTCAAACTGCAGAAGAGAAGAGAGAGAGGGGGAGAGAAAGTGAAGATGGAGACAAAAGGGAGTTGAGGAAGCAAAAGAGAAGAGCAATGGAAGAAGAAATCAATTATGCAAGCATAATTAAGGTGTCTCCTTTACTTTTATGTGCAGCTTCACAGGAAATCAATGGAGGACAATATGTATGTCCCAGTGTTTCTGTGTGAGTGTGGATTTTGTGAAGTGATTTGTTTTGCGTTTGTGCTAATGTCCCCAGATGTAAATGCCATATGTTATTGTCTGTGGATGTCTTTCAGGATCTCAACTATATTCACATGCATATTGCAGTCCTGTATGCATGGATGTACCTTTTGGAAGTTTCCATACTGAGCATGTTCACAGGTGATCATGTCAAAGAAGATGGGAATAGTGGCCCTCCTCAACTCTTCCTCAGGGATCAGAGTCATCTCCAGGATGGGACCCACCATACCAGGGATGAAGCAGATCTTGTGACTGCCTGAAAGACATACATACATGTACTTTAAAATAACAGGTAAAATTGCATGTGACCTCTTGGCACACTAATTCAACAGGTTTTTGTCCACCAAATCTGATAAGTCATTTTTCGTCTGCAATAAGGACTTTCAACTCTGCTTCCTGTTTATAGCATAAACCACTACATTTCTGTACATGCCATTTTCTCTGAGTACAAATGAACACTACATTTTATTCATAGAGACACATATAGTGTTATATTGATGTCTATCTCTGTGAAATGATGCTGGCATAGTGAACCTCTGCTACCATGCTGCATGGAGAACACAAATTCCACAGAGTCCTGCTTGTGTCATGGAGTGCAATCATACCCAAAAGCAGCAATGCAATCACACTTTACACTATAAACTCGATTTTCTTACCTAGTTTGTACCAGATGTCTCGAATAGCGAAGCCAATGAGGCTTCTCATATCGCCATATCTGAAATAAAAGTGTTTGAGAGGGAGAGAGTAGGAGAGGGAAAACACAGAAACACAGACAGAAGGAGAAATCAGCCCCTGAGTTTAGAAACAATGTCTTAATCAATACTGTTGTTTTCACCTACAGAAACCAAAAAACCCAGTGGGAAAGATAATGCTGCACTACTCTGTCTCAACGTGAAATAAATTGAATGTCTATCTACAGGTAACACAAGGGTTTAATAGGTAGTGGGAGTACAAACCGTAAATGCAGACTCCGAAATAGATCGCAAATCACTGAGTGTTTCATTAGTGCAGAGAGGGTAGGTGTGGTAAATAGGGAAATTAAATGGTTCTACTCTCACTTGGCTAGAATCTTGTTCCTCTTGGTTGGAGAGAAATGCTGAAGCTGCAGAGACTCCTGGGTAATAAAAGCCACCGCCAAGTGGAAATAGTTATTCCACAACTAGACAGGGAGGAAGAGTGAAGGAGAGACAGGATGTAGGAAGAGACAATTAAGTTCCAGGTTAAAAGCGGCGCAGGAACAATAACATCAACGCAATTGATAGAAATAAAAAATACTGCACACACAAATACCTACCTGCACTTCAAAGTCATCGTTATTGAGGAACTTGTGGTTCATTGTGTCGGCGTATGTGTTGATGGCTCTCAGGAACACTCTAATGGACACACACATGTGCACGTATTGTAAATACAAGTCAAAGTGTGTCAACAACGTCCAATTCATGACTCAACTCAACTCTCACGGCGGCAGTTGATCACTAAGAAACGTAAAATAAATAAATAAAATTTAAAAAAACATTTGCAATTTCCTGTATATTTTCTATGATTCTGAAATACCCACAAAATAGCAAGAAAAATACAAAAACAGACTGTGATTTTAAATGTCTAAAGTGGAATGTCATCAGAAACCTGTAACTGTGAATACCTGTAAAACTTCTTTTTATTTTTAAATAAAGAAAATTGACATTTTTTTAAAGTATAAGAAGACATTCACGTTTACATGTTTATTGTAGTTTCACAAGTATGTCCTTTCCAATTAATAGATGAAAATGTTCAACTTAATACTTTAAAATATATACAATTTGACACAATCACTGACAAACATTTCACATAGACTCGCTTTCTCAATGAGAGATATATATTTCCAGAAGTTTTCACATAAAATGTAATATAAATATGTTTTTGCATAATACCTACAAGTACAAGTAATCTATCTTGTTATTATTACTATTACTATTATTATTATTATTGTGAGGAATTTCATGATTTTCACACGTGTAAATATCCTTCCTTAAAGATTAAAGAGCCAAAAATACACATGATCTAAAGCAAAATAAAGACTAAAAAAAACGTTTTGGGGCACTCTAGCTGCCAAAATACAACAGAGTCTCCTCCTTTTTTTCTACAGCCAATGAATCACATTAATCAAATAATGAAAAAAAAAAGATGAAAAAACAATGTAAACGATGTGTATGAGGGGAAGTCTGTACGTTATTACAGATGTCAGTTATTTGGAATTTTATCAAAGAACTTCATCTTTGACAGCTACTCAAGCTTCTACCTTTAAACTGCTATTTCATACGAGGCTGTACTGTTGCTTCAGATTCAAACTTTCTGTCACAGTGATGGATCATGATAGCGACTTAACACTGTGTGCAGGTATATCAGTGAAATATGCCCTTATGCATTTCCGAAGTTAAGTAGCAAAACTGCTCCCAGTCTCTTTCTGCTCCAACACTGTCTATCCGTCATCATTATCCTGAGCCAAATGCCGTTGCCTCTCATTCCCCTCTTTCTTTCCTCTTCCTTTAAGAGCAAGTTTCTCATTATATCTGCACATCTCTCCCCCGACCCAAGTCTGCAGACTCCTTATCAACCTGTCTTTTCTTCTACTTCACTTCCACTTTTACTCATTTGCCTTTTCCTCTGACACAGCTTTAGCCTTTCCTCTTGCTCCCATCACAAAAATACACTGATAGCTTTCACTCCACTCAGCTCTCTCTCTCACACACACACAATCACACACACACACACACACATTTGTCACATCAGCCATTTTCATCATCGCAGCCTTGATCCCGGCTTTACTATCTCTAACTTATCCCTGTGTGGGTTTTTGCGGATGAACAAGTCACTGTGGATGTCGACAATCCTTTAAAATGAACACCCAAGCCTCGTGGGCCCACTAGCAGGTCCCTCCTGAGGCAGCTGTCACATACATTCAGGCACAGAAACAGAACCGTGTAAGTGAATAGTTGGTCCTTGTGTAGTATGTTACCTGTTCTGTACCATGATCATGGCCATCCAGTCAGAGGGATACACATGTTTCCCAATCAGGGCCTTGAAAAGCAGGAACGACTCCATCAGGAAGTCCTGCCACAGAGAAGAAAGTAAGTATGCAACTATATGCTCATGCAATATATTTTTTGTATCTTTTCATCAGTGCATAAATAACAGAGGCGCTTGTGTGCACTTACCACAAGATCACGTGACCCAGCGAAGGTTTCTATGTATGTGTCATAGTGACGATCATCCATCTGACTGAGGATAGCCGTCATGCAGGCAACAACCCTAGACTGGAGGAAAAGAGGCAAAGTATAAGTGTCAGAGAAATAGGGAGAAAGAAGGAGACGCACCATTACTTTTTGGGCACTGTGCAGCTGCTCTTAAACTGAGTGCTATACATCTGAAGCCAAAGACTTTTAAATTGCTTAAGGAAATTTCTTTGCTGCACCATGTCTAAGTATGGCTAAAGAGACCCTCAGACCAAGCTCTGTCACTTAGTAAATTCTGCCATTACTACACCGGTCCAAACAGAATCATCACATACTGCCCACAGGATCCGGAACAAAAGGGCAGCACCCTACGCGAGACAAATGGGTATTTTTAGTGCTATTTTTAAAGATGCTTTATGCGTCAACAAGTTGTTACCACAATGTTGTTCACAAAGTAGCATAATGACTATAAACAAACCTAACCGTTGCAAGGAAAAGTGGCAGCCTCTGCGATTTCTAAATTACATTCTATAGTTTACATTGTGGCACTCTGCCACAAGGTAAGATTTAAAAAAATAGATTCTGAATTGCTGTATCGCACCAATATAAAAAAATAGAATAAAAGCTCTTAGAGTTTCTGTTAACAGCAAGAGGTAAAAGGTATGGGGGACTTCAGCAAAATTCCTTTTAGCATGCCTTATTTAATTTACTATCTGAAAAGAAGAAGAGAAGACAACCTTATAAACAAGAAACAAAACAAAAACCTGCAAAAGCAAAGAGAACGGTTTGAAAACTCAGATTATTCTGACAAACAGCAAGACCCTCTTCAATCATGTGATGCTGTCAAATGCAAAATGTGATCAATTTCAATATCACCACGAAGGGGCAGACATTCCACAAAGTCTGATAATATACACAAACACTATTTTAATAAATCAAATAATAAATATATCATGTCTGGCCCTGAGATGTAAAGCTCCTAACATAACTAAAAGATTAAGATAACAGATCAGATTACAACTTGAATGCCAAATTTACTGTACGTACTGCAGGTTTTTTTTTAGTATTTAGTTTTTAATGAGGTATTAAGTCCTCATTAAGCGCACTTAAACTCTGAATATGGCCCAAGGTGAGTACACAAAAGCACACAGGAGATGAAAGAGAAAACGAGTCAAGAGACGGAAGAGGTGGAAGAAGGAACAAGCACTGCTATGACTGTGAAAGTAAGACAAAAATTAAAAATGAGGCTAGGCAAAAAAAAAGAAGTATGAAACAAGTTTCAAGTTTTAAATCTGTGTGAAAACTATTTATGCGGAGAGAAACTCTTTGAGCTGGATTAAAGAACAAAATTCATGGAAAGTTTTGTGCAAATCTTTCGACAACCAGGAGCTGAGAGGGGTTTGTGGTCAAAGAAGGGGAAGAAAACAGAGAAGAAAAGGACAAAAACTGAACTGCACTGATCTGAAGAGAACATAAATTATTAGTGGCATAAATAAAAAGGAATACTAGTTTACACATATTACAGACACGTCATTTGTTGACATGTCACTTGATCAGTCAAGTCAAACTCTGGTCATCTACCCTCAAGTCCCCTCTTCATATACTCCACCACTGATATTTTTTTTTCTCTTTCATTTTATTCTGTGAATGTTCCTGTGCTTTGTGTATTATGTATAGTCCATTAAACTAAAATGGAACATGGGAAGGTTTACATTGAAAGTTTAACTGGAAAAGGGAGACAATTAAAAAAAATATTGAAAATAGAAAATGAACTGGAAAAGCTGAATGGACTTTTTTCCTTATGTTTTTGTTTCTCTGTCATTTTCCCCTCCCCTCTTGTCTGTCTGCTAGATTCATTTTTGTTTCTTGGGTTGTCTGTAAATAACAAGAGACGATCATCACACCAGTGAGCCTGAAAGGGGTCGAGGCATCATTTGGACATGAGAAGGAGTCGGACAAATAAAGAGCACAGTGTTGTTAATGTCCAACGCGCAGCAGCATGTTTTGGCTTGTGTCTAGCTTTTGATTGCTTTCTTCTTCTACATCAGTGGTTCCCAGAGTGGGAGCTGGACCCCCTGGGGGATGGCGAGACACTGATTTGGAGAAGATTTCCGGAAATAATACAAAAAAAAAGATATCTAAAAACAATTGGAAAAGCATAGTTTAATGGTTACAAAACAAAAAATCTGTGAGTCTGCTGTTATATTTACCCAGTACTACAGATTATGATGAATCATTTTGCTGCTAGCTTTTATTAAATTACAATAAAATAAAACCATGTCGTTACACTGTTGTGCTGTTTTTATGCCTGTTCTTAGATAGCCTTTTTGGAGCATGTGCACAGCTATGTACAATGTTTGTATGATTATAATTCTATACCCAAACTTCTTACACTTGCAAAAATTTTAGAATCTCGAGTAAATTTGTAATTGGTGGAATTCCTGACTGATAATAGTATCTGAAGTGAAACTCTGTCAGCTTTAGAACAGGTCATTGTACCACACCAGTGCCTTGGACGGACACCAATGTGCTGCCCTGTTTGTTGATCTGTCAAAGGCATTAACCAAGAGCTACTTCTGACTGGACGCAGTGGCATTGCTATGTTCGATGAAGCTATGGTGGAGTTCAGGAACAACTTTGCAGACAGAATTCAGTGTATGTATGCAGATGGACACAAGTCAAACTTAATGGGAATCTCTACAGGAGTCCTACAAGCCTCAGTTTTAACTCCAGTCTAATTCTCTGTTTTTTTAAATAGCATTAGGAAGTGCATGTCTACAGATAAAGTGCATCTTTATGCAGATGACACAGCAGTCTATTCAGCTGGCTCTTAGCTCCAGACTGCCTTTTAACAGTTGCAGGGCTCATTGCATTTTCTAAAGTTGGCTCTGAATGCTAAGAAATCTAAATGTATGATCTTTTTCAGAGCTCACTTCCAGATCTCTGCTATTGCCTACATTCACTCTTTAGGTGGGGACTTAATTGAACATGCATCTTCCAACAGTTACTTTGGTATCTGGGTAGATAATAGGCTCTCTTTCAGCGTGCATACAGAACAGATAGAGGGGAAAACATTTTTTTGCACAAGGCTTGGTTTTTATTCTATTTTTTTTTATTAAATAGGGCCTGTCATAATTTAGTATTGAGGTGGATGCTCACACAGATTACGTTCTCAAGTGGTTCAGACCATGAGGACATTATTTATATGCATGCTGCTGCCTCGACTCTTTGCTGTCTAGACTCTGTATTACGGCTCTTCAAGTTTAAATCCAACTCATTGTCCAGTACACATCACTGTACACTTAAAGATCTGGTTTCTTGGCCTTCATTAAGCCTAAAGAGGCAGAAGCATTGATATATTTCTTTTTACAAAGCAATATTCTATCACCTACCAACAGCTGTCATAATTCTCACTCATCTAAATGGGTGCTCTACAGGGTGCCTAGGATTTGCTCTGAACTTTGTGGAACGGCCGTCTCCTATCCTGGTCACAAAATAACCGTCAGAACACACTACAGCTTAATGAATTTGTCTCCCTAAGAGAGTTCAAAGCTCTGATCAAAAGATGTGCAATTGCTATTCCTAAGCTGGATTTTGTTTTGTGTATCATTAGTCCCTGGGTTGATTTAATGTGCTCTTTCTTTTTTCTTTTTTTTTTTTTTGTCCCACGTCAGTAGTTTTCATGCTCGATTTTATGAAGTTGTGTAACAGTGTGCCTTCTTGACTAGGTCTCCCTGACAAAGAAGATTTTAATTTCAAAGGACATCCTGGTGAAATAAAGGTTTGACTAAAAACATTTTTTTAAACCAACCATCTACAACTATATTGGGTGTTGCGAGTCTCTGGCATCAATATTTTGAGGGTTGGCAGCTGTAAAGTTTGTTCTACATCACTGTTTCCTGATCCTTGTCTTCACAGATCTGTAAAACAAAGCAGATGTACAGGTATTTCTGCAAACAGGGCTTGGGTGAAGTTATCCTCCAGATGGCAGAGAAGGGAAACCCGAGACAGTGATGAGCGATGATGGATGACTAATTGAAGATGAAAGATGTATGGCGTCTAATGTGGTGACAGCTTTCATCTGATCAAAATGGGGAGGGTGTGTGTTTGTGATTGCTTGTAGAATAATAGTAGAAGATGCTTTTCAGTCATGTATGCAAACAAAAACATATTTTCATCGAGTACGGTTTTAGAGGAAATATAAAGGCAGACACAAGCACACGGACGCACATTGATGAAGTGTTTTCAGCTGCACTTAAGACTTCATTAAAATAAATATCTGGCTGGGGACGAGCACTGTACGTTCTTAGATGTATGTGTTTGAGCTCGGTGCATAACCACCCCCATCCTCCACCCAACTTTCTGCAGTGTAGCGACACCAGAGACCCCGTCAGCACACTCCCTTCTTTAATCTTTCTTTTTTTTCCCCCCTACTTCTCTCTTCCCACTCATGTTTCCCCCTTTAAAAGTGCTGGGAGATCAACTTAGTGTGACACCTAAGTAACGAGTAAACGCTGGAAGTAACAGTTGCTAAAATAAGGGAATGACATTTAGCTCGTCCTTAAATAATGTATTTGTCTTAGAGTCACTGCAATTCATTTCTATCATTGAAGGTGAACTTTAGTGTGGAACAACAGTGTAATTGAAAGTTTGCTGACATGGGAGCAATCATTTAAATTATACAATTATACTAATTTATGTCATTTATCACAGAAAATGGACAGAAACCACTCGCTCCCATCCTCCAGGTAGGACATAAACAGCACCGTTAACTCTTTTTTTTTCCTCATCTCACCCTCTCTCTCCTCCTACTTTTACTCTTTAGTGCGCAGTGGCTGATCAGTAATAGGATTAAGAACACGCACACACTCACTCGCTTACCAAAACTGCTCTACAGCTCAGTACTTTCCTGGTTTTATATTCGCTGCGTTTGTGTATGTGTGTGTGTGTGTTTGTGCCTTGAAGTGTAGGTCACGTGTCATATTGCCCTACTTCCCTGTAATTGGTGTTCTCTGAGGACCTATGCTCTCAATCTCCTCTAACACTACCGAAACACAACACAAACGCTCAAAGGGCCAAAT